GAGAGAGAGAGAGAGAGAGAGAGAGAGAGAGAGAGAGAGAGAGAGAGAGAGAGAGATTTTTATTCTAGTCTGTTATGGAAGTGTTTCCTCCTTGGTGTGGCACTTGAGTTCTGTTTTAATAAGGGCTGATGTTGAATTTGCTCTCTCCTTGACCTTCCAGAGCTTGCTCAGGGGTACCAAGATGGTCAGATGGAGGCCGAAAATGGACCTGAGGACCAGGATGCTTTAGGGACTTGCAGGCTGCTGCATCACATCACAGATGGAGATTATCCTCTATTGTCTCCTCGCTGCTCCATTTTCAGCCAAAGCCAGAGGTTTAACTTAGATCCCGAATCGGCTCCTTCTCCACCAAGTGCTCAGCTCTTCATGATGTAAGCTGCACTGACCTTTTTCATTTTCCTAGCGCAGATCACCTTGTTTTCCTTTTAGGACAAAGCTGTCTTCTTCTGGAAACACTACTTTGGGGCAAAAGAAAATCTCCCTTCTTCCTGGGACATTGGCATCTATGGGGGTGCCCCAGATTTGGTGAAGGGCCACAGCCTCTTCTCCCACGGCTGCAAAGCTTGATGAGATGCATCATTCAAGCGACTCTGAGTTTTGCAGGAGGGATTCTGCTGCCTCAAAGTGACTGCTTGGGCCCTTATTTGGTAGCTTCAAAAACTTTTTTTTAATCAGCTAACAGTCAACAAGTTATGAATTCGTTTATTCAAGAGAGCAAATGGCCTCCAGGTTTTTAATAATAGCAAAACTAATAAGCTGTTCTACTGTAAACATTCCTTCAGTGTGGTTGATTTAGGGACAGTCCCCCTTACTGCAACCTTATAAGGCAAGTTACCATTGTGCCTCCAATTTTAAATCCCTGGAGGGCAACTCAGCGCAGGGTGAAAAAGGAGAACGGAGAACTTGAAGTTTCAGGCAAGGACATCTCCAATAATGGAAAAAGAGGGTGTCAGGAAGGTTTTCTTATTTTCATCTGTGAGATGTTGGGAGGACAGAAATCATACATTACAAAAGAACTGTTTATTTAAAATTAATAATCAACTCTAAGCCAAATATTTACACTTTTATTTGTGAATTTATAAACTGTTTCACTGTGGAGACTTTTAGTCATGGGCAAAATCAGTAACTGCAGCCAAAAGGACAATAAAACAAGAATCTGCAATGATGCACTGTAAAGAAAGTGTAAAATATGATGATAGGTTTAGAACTTGCATCTCCCCCAGTCTTGGTAATCAAAGCCAAGGCCTCTGTAGAGAAATCCTGGGGCCTCTTAAGTGCCCCCAGTGAGTCTTGTGAGAACCTTGTGGAGGCTCCAACTCCAGGATTCTCTCTGAGGCTGTTCCCTCCAGAAGAAGATCTTGAGCAGGGCCTGGTTCAAGCCAAGGCATCCACGTTCCAGTCTTTCGGGCAGAATCACCAGCCCAAAGGAAGCTCTCTGCTGATCATGCTACATTTGACAATTCCAGAACCTTTGGGTATGGAAGAGCTTTTGAGCATTTCACATAAGCTGCCCAATCTGTGACCGGAGTGGCTATTCCTCAACTGACCGCCATCATTATGCCTTTAGCTGCAAAGTAATTCTTCCTTGAGTGATTGTATTTATCTGATCCTGTGATAAAATCACCTGCTGGCTTCCAGAGATTATGTAGTTCTTCATGAAACAAGGGCAGGGCAGGTTTCCATCTCTGTAATTCTCCTTGGTCTCTTCTTCCCTCTTCTTTATTTTCCACCTCCTCATAACATCATAGCACTCTGGGGTAGCTGGAGGAGGCCCTTATTTGGTAGAAATAGTACTCTAAATGGGATTTTTTTCATAATTTTTGAATGTCCCAGGCCAAGAAGCTCTTCCAGAGGCAGCTGTGAGGACAGCAAAGTGCCCCAGACCATGGTACAACTCACAAAGCACCTGCAAAACCTGAAGAGGAGAATCAGGAAATATGAAGAGAAGTTTGAGGAGGAGAAGCATTACCGGGTAAGAAGCTGAAAGGAGCAGCCAGATCCCTCACAAGAGATCAGAAGGACCGAGGGGCTGCTTCTAAAGGCGACGAGTGGGAAAAGACGTGGGCTTGTTGGGTCCCAGGCACTGTAGGGTGGCTTCAATAGCAATAGCAATAGCAGATTTTTATATACTGCTTCATAGGGCTTTCAGCCCTCTCTAAGCGGTTTACAGAGTCAGCATATTGCCCCCAACAACAATCCGGGTCCTCATTTTACCCACTTATGGCAACTATGAGGCAGCAAAAGATGGCTTCAACCAGGTT